TTATATCATCTATTCACAGATTAATTTATCATATTACAACAAGGTTATGAACATTCTATTTAGCACAGAAGTTAAGTATAGGCATTTCAGAAGTGCACAGACCTGGGTGTCTATCTCAACTCCATACCCTGGCTGAGTAACCTTAGGCAAATTAACGTCTCTACCTACATAGAAGATAGGGCTAAAAATACCTACCATGAAGGGTAATTGAGAAGACAAAATAAGGAAATGCATAGAAAGCATTTTAGCACAGAGCATGGCACATAGTAAATACTCAAGAGTAGCTATTAGTCTTAGTAATAAGGGACTTTGCACCCTCCTCCTTCAAGTGGCACCCAACGATCCCTTCAACATGATAAACTTCGCGTTGATTGGTAGATGATTTAGGAACTAATTAATGAGAGGTAAGTCAATATAAATTTGGACAGTGAAAGAAAATGTGAAAGCCCTTTGTGTGGCAAATTCTTGAGGCTCTGCAGTGGAAGGTCAAGGCAGCTGGATGGTGCTGAGTGATTAGACTTGGTCATTCATCTCTCTGTCTCTCTTTCTCTCTCTCTCTCTCTGGGTGTATATGTGTTTGTGTGTGTGTAGGTGAGAGAGGGATGGTTGTAAGGGGCAAAAAGTAGAACAGTAGGTGTGAGGAAGGCACTAGAGACGAAGTCCTGGGCTTTGGCTATTGGTGGTTTCCACCTCTGAAAGCTTCCTAATCTGGTGGTATTCATATTAATATATATTTCTGGACCTGATCCCTGAAGATTATGATTATTTATATGTTAGGGCACATCTTAGGAGGAATACTTAGAAATATATATTTTGGTGTGTAACCAGTTGGAGAGTTATTGAACCAAAAATGCATTACTCAGAATGTAGCATTTATGCCACAGGTGGTATGCAAGATGATGTAAGTTGGAAGATGGCCATATCCTTAAATAGCATTAATATCATTAATCACTTAATCAGTCCTGATTAGTCAAGAAAGAATTCTCAGTTTAGTAATGAAACCTCTGTATCCCTTGCTTATCAACCAAAACCAAAAAGGCGATAGTATCTAGCTAACATTTAATCTCATTTTGTTCGCACTGTGTTTATATTGTAGTTACCTTCTCTTTGTAGCAGGCAGTCCTAGGTGTTCAATAGTGATATAAAGTCCCCTTTCAAAATAAATTTATCTAAGTTTTTTGAAGAGCCCACTGTGAAAAAGCTATGATAATGACCTAAGTTTATGATCCTTTCCAGGTTCAATACAAAAATACAGTTAATTGTACCATTCATGTTTGCCTAGAACTGGGTTTGACTTTGTTCTTCCTAAATATTTCCTACTAACTAAATACATGAAGAAACGACCATTTGGAATAGAAAATTATCTCTTGTTTTTCATAAAGGAACTTCCTTTATGTTTCCTGTGGAAGTCCATGCTCAGATAATCTATCTCTGTGTTGTCCTGTAGAGCAGTTTAAACTAGGGAAAGAAAGGTCATGGAGTCACTGAGTCCCATCTATGGCTGAGCTTGACAAACAAGAAACGCAGAGCAAACTCCATTTCTTCAACTTTGAAACTGATTCCTTCTCTGTTAATCCCTGAGGTCAGGTTGCCTGAATGTCCTGGATTTTTGTTGTTTTTTTTTTTTCCTGAGGAATTCTTCCCGATCAGCAAGACATGATCGTGTTTATCCCTCTGCAAATCTACTCGGCATGACCAAAGGAGTGTTATTATTTTTAAGATTTGAAACCTTTCATTCTCAGAGAGGGTGGGAGGTTGCAAGGGAGGGACAGTGGCCAAAGCCCATGTGCCTCAAACCTCACCCGGGATGGCCTGGATAAGTGCCAGTGAGACAAAAGCACTAGTCAGACCAGGGTGTTTTCACAGCTGGGCAGTGTTTTTGGACAGCATGGGTGGGGAGGAGGCCACAACAGTGTCAGCCTCTGTCCAGTAGCATCTTGCAATTGAGAGAAGCCTTAGGCAGGCAGATGGCTTTAATCTAAGGAACTAAGCATCTAAAGAATAGGATTTCTCCTGTAGAGAAAGGCCATAAGAAGCAATGTTCTTGTAAAAGGAGGCCACTGAATGCTGGTTTTTGTTTAACCTGAGAACTGAGCTGCTTTTTAGCCTGAAGACTTTCCTACCTTGATCCTCACTGGGCATTTGCACAATCCAGTTCCAGAAGGTGTTTCTAGGACCCCCATGAAGTGTAAGGAGATCTGGAAGAAAACATTAAGCTGTCTTTTGCAAAAACTTCCCCCACCAAAAACTTGTGAGTGTAGAACTAACTTACCTGTGTGAACATCAGAGGGGCAGTGGACTACTTCAGGGGGGCTGAAATGCCCCAAACTGACACATACAATTTTAGATGTATGTGCACTTTTTTCTGGTAGAGGACCCATAACTTGCATCAAATTCTCAAGGAATTTATCATCTTAAAATGTGATAAACCACTGCCTTTCAAATGCCTATAAGAATGCATTATCATTTAAATGTTATTAAGCAAGCAAAGCTGACTAATTGAGGCTAGCACTGGCAAGTCTTGGTCCTTCCTATAAAAAAAAAATCTAAGATTCTTGTAGAATTGTTCACTGTAGGTGCTCTGTTTCGAGAGGTAAGGTTAGATCGAACAACATGAAAAGAAATAGACTAGCCCAAGTTCAAGGGATCCTAAGGAATAGTTAGATGAGACCCAGCAAGAGAGTGTGGTCAGAGGAGCCAGCAGAACCAGGCACACTAGCAGACAAGAAATGGCAGGGGCACTATGTGAAGACTTGGGCACCACATTTCAGAGGGAAATGGGTAAATTGGAGCCTTCTTAGAGAAGAGCAACTTGGAGAGGGAAGGGTCCAGAAGTCATGTCACATGGAAAACTGGGGTAGTTGGAACAGGAAACATTTGGAGCAAGGTGGCAGGGATATCTTCAAGTATTTTTAAATTGTTGCATGACTTGAGTTTAGAATATTACGGCTTTAGATATAGAAGGGATCAAAGAACATTTGTACAAGGCATTAATGTTATAGGAGAGAAAACTGAAAGCCAGAGAGAACCGACTGGCTAAGGCAAAGGTGGGACTAGAATCCAGATTCTGATTCCCTTCCCAGTGCTGTTTGCCACCATTTCCAGCTGCCTCCCCGAGTGCCTTATGTGCAGGGAAGAGCTAGGACCAATGAATGACTATTTTAAGAAGATCGAGTGATCTCATTGTTCAATGAGATCACTTGGACTCGGGAAGGGGAACATCACACACCGGGGCTTATCATGGGGAGGGGGGAGGGGGGAGGGATTGCACTGGGAGTTATACCTGATGTAAATGACGAGTTGATGGGTGCTGACGAGTTGATGGGTGCAGCATGCCAACATGGCACAAGTATACATATGTAACAAACCTGTACGTTATCCACATGTACCCTAGAACCTAAAGTATCATTAAAAAAAAAAAAGAAGAAGAAGGTCGAGCTTAGCTTGATAAAGAGTATTCCTTTGTAGAATAGGAAGCTAAGTGAGACATTGATCTCACCATCATAAAGAGTATTTCTGAGGAAATGTGTATTCATGTTCTATAGTCCCTATAAAAATTTACCACAAACTCAGTACTTACAACAGTAGTTTAAAATGGTCAGTGTGGCCATGCTCCTTCTGGAGGCCCTAGAGTAGAATCCAGTTCCTTGCCTTTTCAACTTCTAGAAGCGACCTGCATTCCTTAGTTCATGGCCCCTTCCTCCAAAGCCAGCAGCATAGCAATCGCTCACCCTGCTTCTGTCATCACATCTTTCTTTTTTTTTTTTTTTTTTTGACGGAGTCTTGCTCTGTTGTCCAGGCTGGAGTGAAGTGGGGCGATCTCCGCTTACTGTAAGCTCCACCTCTTGGGTTCACACCATTCTCCTGCCACAGCCTCCCGAGTACCTGGGACTACAGGTGCCCGTCACCACGTCCAGCTAATTTTTTGTATTTTTAGTATAGACGGGGTTTCACCGTGTAGGCCAGGATGGTCTCGATCTCCTGACCTCATGATCCGCCCGCCTTGGCCTCCCAAAGTGCTGGGATTACAGGTCATCACATCTCTTTGTCTTATTCTGACCTTTCATAAAGACCCCTGTGATTACACTGGGCCCACCTGGATAAGCCAGGATAATCTCCCATCTGAAGATCCTTAACTTGACCACGTCTGCAAAGTTCCCTTTACCATGTAAGATAACATACTCGTAGATTCTGAAGATTAGGATGTGGACATTTTTGGGGGGCTATAACTCAACCTACCACAGAATGTATGGAAAGGTTTACTGATGCTGGTGCAGGTCTTAGAGTAGATCTGGATTCAATTCTTGGCTTCAGCACCTACTAGTTGCAGGACCATTACCCCTTTGAGCCTTTGTTCCCTCATGCATAAAAAAGAAATAAAATCTCAACATTACCATGAGGATTTGTGGTAATATTCATGAAATGCATAACATATAATATTCTCTCAATGAATGGTAGCCATATTTATTTGAAAAACTGCCAGATGCTTCTCACCATACAAGAATTTAATAGAAGAAACTCCATTATTACATGGGACATTTGATAAAGTGACCTGCAGATCTCCCTCTGAGACGGCTAAAATCTAAAGGAATAAAAATTTCATCTCCTCTATAAACTATTCTCAGGGCCTCTTGTCCACTTCCCAGATGCAGTTACAAGGGAATCACTTTTCTGGATAGCCAATGGCTATCAGACTGTGCTTTCTGCCCCCTACAGTCCTGCCATCTGATTTTGCCGTGCAGCTCTGGTTGAATTTAAACAGGATTAGGAGTCTGTCCTGGTGTGTAATGATTGGCTAGACCAGGTGGCTGAGGCCAGGGCAGACTCCCTCCTTCACATCTGTCAACATACCTGGCTGCAAGCAAGTTGCTGCCTGTGACCACTGTCTGCAGAGGCCAGAGAGAGCAGGAAAGGAAGTGGAAAGGAACACCTCACCTTCATGCTTGGGGAAAAGGAGAAACCTGTGTTAATGTGTCTTCCCAATGTTCCACTCTCTTCAGCAATGGTTGGAAGAGCCGTGGGTCATCTCTGCTGAGTCAGGAAAGAAGCTGAGGGAAGAGTCAGGATTGAAAAGCAGCAGACAAGGTAGGTGATCTCTCGGGTCATTGGCCCTTCTCTCATGATCACAAAATGAGCACCGTACACAGCCTTGTCACCAGAGTGTCTCTGAGGATGGTCTGCTGAAGGAGATATGGTAGACCTGGGTATGTGTCTGAATTCAGTCATTTTTCCATCAGCCTGTTCTGGAAAGCAGGCTGTATTTTCCTTCTGTCTTCTATCTCTTCTGAAAATTGTTGTTGCCCCTGTACGTATTTCAGAAACTTGGAAGGTTTAAAAAAAATTTTCATTATAACAAATTATATGTGTGATTTGTTAAAATGATTTCATTGGTGGTAGCTCCACAAGCATGGTTTTGTTCCAGAATTTTCCTTGCATAATTTTTTTCCATTTTCAAGACATACCAGAGAGGACAGTGTAAGTATATTGTAGTACATGGTATAGAATAATATATTCTGAGAAATATACGGTCCACTCACAGGGCTGTCAATCTCATATGACAGACTCAGGAAGTCATGTGTATTTTTCTGCTTTGGAACCTAGAGAGTTAAAAGTTCTGAAATTACTGGAGCAGAATCAAGCCTATTTACCTAAGCTTATCACATCGGCAGCCAGGTCAATCATTTACTGGGACTAGGCTGCTTCTTACCCTGAGTGGAGGACCACCAAAGCCTTTGCTGGCCTGAGTCCCTCTGTAGAAAAGACATGGGAAACATAGAAGAAATGCTTCTCTGAAGCTATAGTCCAGATTCTCTTCTCACCAGAAGTAAGTTTTTCTCCTTCCTAGAATAGTAAATATCCCAAGGCCTCCCCTCCCCAGCTCAATGATAAACAAGCATGAGCAAAACTAATACGCAAACCTGATACCAATGCCACTTTAGGTACAGAGCTTGTGGCTGTGGAGGGAGCTTCCCTCATCACTGGAGGTCTATGGGGAAGAAGGAGATGATAACTATGAAACAAGTTATTGAGTGATTCTTGAGGAAGAATAAAGTTATAAAGTAATCACCAAAGAAAACATAGAAATTTTCTCCTTCAAGTCTATACATTCTAGAAATATGTTATTTTTATCAAATATGATTCACTCTTCCTTAAGTCTGAATATAATTCCTCTAATTGCAGAAATGTTGTTATATTGTCACCACATACAACTTTCAGGCCTGTGCAGTGGTTCCTGGCTCCTATAGTCATTAGTTAGAAGCCTGGTAATGCTGAGGCCCTATTTTTCTGAACTCCCTTTAGGGAAGGAGTTGGGTCACCTAGGACAAGGTAATGTTTGACATTATTTTTGTCAATCAGTTGTGGAACCGAAGTGACTCACCTCAGGTAAGGTTTGTGGCTGAATATTTAGTGTCTGAGGCAGTTAACTAGATGCAAGAGTGGAGGCCATTGTAGACACAAACCCATGTGTGATTTTGGGTAAGTCTGTGCTACCTCCCAAGAATGTTGTGGAGAATTATGGAAAACTGATACATTTCTGTGAAGATATTAAGCACTGCAAAATGTTAAGTGTGAATCTGGCTGGCTTCCAGAGGATGTTTATAGATAATACAAGTGATGGAGGTGGTTTTGACGAGGGAAAAGGATCTTGGGGTGATCAAGTGATTGGCTAGGTTGGGCATGGTGACCCATGCCTGTAATCCCAGCACTTTGGAAGGTGAGGCAGAGGATTGCTTGAAGCCAGGAGTTCAAGATCAGCCTGAGCAATAAAGTGAGACTCTGTCTCTACAAAAAAAAAAAAAATTTTTTTTAAATTATGCATTGGCCATATTTCCCCACATTACCGAAGGCTGCCTTAGGGACAGACACACAGGTCTGATCTGTCCTTTTTTTGTAGCTTCTGCCTCAGGGCCTAAAACACACTGGAAGCCCCTAAGGGTATATCCAGCTTTTTCTTTCCATTTCCTGAATATTGGATAGTAAGTAGAGGAAGACTACTCTTCAGATTAACTAGATTAGGATAGGCATTGTCATTGTTTTTAAATGTTAGGTAGTTAGAATATGGAAATTAATTAATTTGTCCAAAATCATGCAATTAGTCTGAGCCTGGATTCTACTCAGTTCTACCTTGTTCCCAACCCAGTGCTTTTCCCATAAGGTCATGGAGATGACCATATGGATAAGCGTAAATTGAAGGGTCACTGAGGTAAGCAAGGCTGACTAATACAGTCAGAAGTTCTCCACTGGCTCTTGGATGTGCCATGCCTGAGCTACTGTAACTGAAAGGCCAGTACTGGACTTCCGAAAAGGATAGAACAGGCAAGAGCAAAAGGAAGTGTTTTTAGTTGTGGCAGTCACTGGAGTCTTCTCTGTTCTGTATATTTTCTAAATAACCCAGCTAATCCTCAGGCTAGGTCTTTGCCCCTTTTTATACTGTAGACTCAAATCCATGAGCCCCAACTAAAGTACAACATCTGAACTATTTCCAGAGAAGAAATGACCCTATCTCAGTCTTTCTCAAGGAACTCAAGAATTTACTTACTATCTCATCTCAGCAAATATCCACTCATCTAAATCTAAGAGACTTGGGCACAAAGAGGCTTAAAGCCAGAGAAACAATCAATAGTCCCTCCTATCAAGGCTTTCACCATCTGCAATCCAAAGATACCCATGTCGGCTTGGAGTCTAAATGGCTTGTTGGTGTCATTTGAGCAGTGAATGAGTAATGTACAGCAGAAGCCTTAATCCACCCCCCACCCCTATTTTCACTTTTGTTCACATATGTCCTAAAGATTCCATTAGCTGTCTGTCATAAATTCCAAAGCAGCCACAATTCCTGAGCATTTACAAGATCAAGATAAAGAAATGCCATCATGAAATGAGGTTGATTAAATGTCTTTGAACAAAGGGTTTCTAATGACTTGCCTCACACGTATCTCAAGTGTGTGATAGCAAAGGCATTACAAATAGGGATTGCATCACCATGTCTACTAGTACCCTTTACTAATCAACTGACCTCGCATGAACTGTATTTACATGCCATCATTTTCATTAACTGAAACACTAGGAGAAAGAAAGTTGAAGCTAAAACACAAAGACTCATCACAACATTTCACCTGTATCAACTACTTACTATGAACTGCTGCCTTCTTATCTACACTTTTTTTCATTTAATTTTCATAACAAACCTATGCAACTTGCCCAAGTCACAGAGCTAGTAAGATGAGGTAAAATTTGAGTTGAGGTCTGACTCCAAATCCCATGTTCTTCAGCATTCTGTTCTGGGAAACATACTCACCCAACAGTGTCTACACTGTTCACATTCTACATGTAAAAGAGTAAAAAAAGTTCTTTCTAAATTATTTGATCGGATCCTTAGAGTACATATTTATTCCCCCTTTCCACCCACACCAGATGCTATTGATGTACTTGAGTATAAGCATAAAACTCAATATGACAGTGGTTTTCCTCTCTCTAGAAAAGGAACCACAAAACACACATGCACACATACACACACACAACAGCAGTTGCCCAAGAGTCAGTGCTTTGATTCCTTTCTGAAGCTGAGAGAGAAAATTGTTCTTATCTCCTAGTTT